CCTGCTTCGCTGAATTATGTGAAAATTTTTAAAGGCAACACGAGTCAGATGATCCGCCCGTTTCTCTCGACTGGGTAAAGCAATAGGAAGGCGAGGGTAGCGGCGCGAACAAAAACAAAAATATCTCCCACAGTCCAATGGTATTATTAATTCGCACATAAATTATTGGCTTTGTCCAATCATAACGAGAGATTAACAATTAATCGACGATCTAAGTAGAACAGAAAAATCAATCTAATTGAAACATTGTTGCTCTATCGTTTTTATCGAAAATTATCTACCAACATAGAGTCGAATTAGTTTCAGTTTTATTACTCGAAGGACCGCTTGGCTTCCTCACTCCACCCCCCCCCCACCGCCCCACCTCGCTCGTTAAAAATCCCATTGAAAAAAGTAGTTATGAAAAGCATAAAAGGTGAGGAAAATAGAATAAAACACGTAAAGAAGAGAAAGAAGAAGATAAAATACTCTTACAATATTGTAGCTGACAAATAATAGAAGAGAAGTATTCGCTTGGACACGATATTTCCGACAATTAACCGACATGGCATAGCTAGATTGCTCATTCGGATTATCATTCCTTCCTTATCGTCCTTACTTGAAAATTATTATATTAACTAGTAAATTATTGGGCCACGCGCTAACCCGATACAATGCCATCGGTTGGTGTTGTGTCAATGACAATGTTGTCGATCAAAGTAGCGCGTTATTGCGACGGTTATGGTCGTAAAATTCATAAATTATCCTCGAAGAAGGAAAGATTAGCCAATAGTTATATAATACTCGCCGATCGAGCCATTTAAATCGAGCCAAACAACTTGCACTCCACAGATGCGCTTCTAATTCCTTTCCTCCTCCTCCCGTCGTAGCCACCGCCCAAGTGTTTGACCCCTTCTTTTAACACAGCGGTTTTTAACCGTTCGTTTTCATTTCGAGATTGTCGTAGTTGAGTTAGCCACGTGCGGCGCACGGTGAGGAGGAATCGTCAGAACAACGGGGAACGATCGATCTAAGAAGGAGCGCTCGATAGAATCCAGAATTGGCCCGGAAGAAGGCGGATGGCCACTGCCCAAAATGCGATATTACTCGTCGAGCCACGAGACGGAGCTCGAAGGTCGGCCGGCAACAGGATGGAGAAAGTTTGTGAAAATGCTCCGGCGCGTGAATCTCTCGAGTTTGGCGGCTCACGTAGGCTCATGCGCTCGAGCGCGCGCCTACGTGCGCCGTCCGCGGCAATCCCGATGAATCGCGCCGCATCGTCGGCAATTGCCCGTCCACGGCGTAATTGAGCCCCGGGATCCAAGAGTCGTTCGCGAGGTGAAAGCACGCGTCGCCCGAGAAACGGCCGAGGTCCGCTGCTTATCGGCTACGTCCTTCGATTATCCGGTCGTGCGCGGGCGCGAATATTCGCACGCGAATTCCTTGGCATGCGAGTGCGCGACGTGCGTGCGCGCGGACCGCCCGCGTGCCCGCATTGCATAGAGTTATGCGTGCCCGGGCTCGCGATAAGTCCGCCCGACGCTCGCTCGTTTGCTCTTGGCGGTGCGCGGGCGCGTGCGTGTTGCGCGAGCCCAGTACCGTGCAATCACGCGGCTACCTCCGCCCGAGCACTTTAACGAATCGATGAGAGCGATTGCGCCTTCCGCCTAAATCCCTTCCTTAAATATTCGAGTGAGGCCTTCTTGCCGCCGTTAATGCACTCGAGCATAATCGAACGAGCGTTACGCAACGGAATTGATTTTCTCGGCCGTTGCTAGACACCAATGCCCAACAACTGCTATACCGTACTTGTACATTTTTAGATTGCAGTCGTAGGTATGTAAATAGCAGCAGTTGGGCATGCAAGTGCGCGTAAATTTAGCCAATCGCTTAAGCCGGAGGTGCATTGTTTTCGGACTATGGATTTCTAAATTTGCGAATCAACGTCGTTGATGATATTAGTGTGGCTGCGCGTCCGCGTCACGTTGCCTGTAACGACAGGCTCGCTTGCTTACTCTAAGCTTGTGTTGGCCAGTGCATGTAGATAGATGACACGGTAGCTACCAACACTGGCCAATGATGAAACGTGCGTGTGTGCGCGCAACGCGAGCTCACGTCGGCTAATGTGTGACGAGCACGTGGTATTATGTCACTGATGCGGATACGCAAATGTACGTATTTTCGAGGGAAGCGTTGGGCGGGGCGGTGGTGGGAACGAGGGAGGCAGGGAGGGGGTATTGGAGTATAGGGCGAGGAGAGAGAGAGAGAGAGAGAGAGAGAGAGAGAGAGAGAGAGAGAGAGGCGTTGGAAAAACGCGCGAGCGCGAGTGCAAAATTTATGCGCGCTCCACACGTATCGCCACGACGGAGCAGTGTGCGTATGCGCACGCTCGTGCGCAATATTTACGTACGTTGGCTAGCGGCCGTTGCTTTTCTGCGTTCTTCTTTTTCTTTCTGCGCTGTATATATAGCGCCTCCGCATACTGGGAGTCACGCCGCGGAACTTATAACAAGAGCCTTATCGACTTCATTGTAGATTGGCAGCAAGGAATCGCTTTTCGAAGGCATTTCTCTTATTTTTAGCTCGGCCGCGCTAAGACGAGCGTACAGCCTCGTGCGTCGCTATCGGGTCAGGTCGGGAAAGGGATCACCCGGATCCTCGGAGTGATGCGAAAACGAGGACGAGGAAGCGCGCCGATGATATGGATCAGGCGCGTATCGTACGTACGAGCGATACGAACTCGCTCGCGACGAGATGTGCATTATTGTTTTATCGGCTGGAAGGCACGCGTAACGAGTACGAGGAGTAGAGTATGTCGCTCGTTATGCAATGCCGGGCGATTAGATTAATTTCAGTAAGGGACGCTCGAGTCCTGCCCCTCCCACGCAAGCTGGCCCTCCTCCGTCGCTGCCACGAGCTTAGTCGCGCTGCTCGTACGAAATTTGGAGCGGCTGAGAAAAAGGAGGAGGGGGCATGCGTATCGTCTACTAATCATACTCGCCGTCCGGGGCAAAGTGCAAAAGTAATTTCCCCATCCCCCCTGTACGCGGAAAGCCCTTTTTCTCAAACACGCGCACATTTTCAAATCACGGACTCGGTCTCTTCCGCCGCCGCCCCCCTGTGCCCCCCGACCGCTCCGCGCCCACTGCCCCTGCGTCGCACTTTTTTCCGGTCCACCGGCCACCTCTCTCTCTCTCTCTCTCTCTCTCTCTCTCTCTCTCTCTCTCTCTCTCCATCTCTCTCGCTCGCGCATTCTCACGCTTCGCACGTCCGTGTGGCCGCCCCTCCCTCGCAGCACCCACCGTCATAGCCCTCATCCCACACCACCTCCTGCTTCTACCGCGCGCTCAACCTCCATCCTCCCCTGGCACCCCCTACCTTACCGACGAGCGACCATTGCCGCGTGTGTACTGCGCATATACAGAGGCTACACGCGCGCTTGAGTGGGTGAACGTGGAACGAGACGGGTGGAAAGGGGTACGAGTGGGCACGGTGGAGGCGGAGGAGGCAATGGCGGAGGAGGAGGTAGATGAGGAGGAGGTGGCGGCGGAGGAGGAGGAGGTGTCGGAGAAGGAGGAGGTTAAGAAGGAGGGAGAAGAAACTCCATCGTCTCGTCTCGGTCTCGCCCGAGGTTTTCCTCGCTTCGCGCACGCTCCCTCCGACTCTCCCTTTATCCCTCCCCGCCAGCGCGTCGCCACGACCTTTCCGAATTTACTCCGTCTTTGTCCTGCGTCGCGACGCTTCCTCGCGCTCCCTCTCTCGCTCACTCTCTTGCTCATTCGCTTA